AGGCCAAGTGGCCGTTTCTCAGTGGTTTTAAAAGTTTTTAATTTAGTATTCTAGTATTATATGTATTTTTTAGTTAGTAATAAGTTTATTTAGTAGCAAAACTAAGGTTAACTTAGTAAAAAATAAAGTTATAAGGTATTTTGAAATAATTAAGCTGGGAAAATTTTGTGTACGAGTGATAGACGGAAAGAGTTCTTTTTATTTAAATTCTATAGATTTGTAAAAAATATCTTTAATTAAAATTTTAGAATATAAATAAAATAAAATTTATTATTTTTACTCAAACTTTGACAATGAATATCTCAATAACTATTGATCTAAATAAGCCCAAATTATAACCATATATAATATTGATATTCTTCTATTATATATATAAATTTAAGCAGATTTAGTTAGGTATTTCTTGAGTAATCGCTTGTGTACAATAGTCAATATTTTTAAAATAATTGATTATCGTATACAATCGATTACTCACGAAATACCTGACCAAATCAGCTGAAACTTTTATATTTAATAGATCAAAATCCATATTATATATAATTAAAATTTAAGCCGATTTAGACCAATAGTTATCGAGATATTGATCGTCAAAGATTGAGTAAAAATAGTGAAACTTTTAATAATAAAATCTTTGCTATTTTTACTCAAAATTTGATGATCAATATCTCGATAACTAAATCGGCTCAAATTTTAACCATATATAATATTGATATTGATCTATTAAATATAAAAGTTTTAGCTGCTTTTGTCAGGTATTTCGTAAGTAATCGATTGTATACGATAATCAATTATTTTAAAAATATTGACTATCGTATACAAGCAATTACGCAAGAAATACCTAACCAAATCAGCTGAAAGTTTTATATATAATAGAAGAATACCAATATTATATATAGTAAAAAATTTGAGCCAATTTAGATCAATAGTTATTGAGATATTCATCATCAAAGTTTGAGTAAAGATAATGAATTTTATTTTATTAATAGATGTTTTAAATAATATATTTTACCTTTTTAAAATCACATTATATATATTATTTATATTATTTTATATTATGTGATTATATAGAAGGAATTCTATTTAATCACTCCTTTATATAATCACCAAAAAGTAGTAGCCAAATAGGGTGATTGTATGGGAGGACGACTGTATTACTAATGAAAAAATTTGATTGATTTAGTAATATAATTAATTATAAAACTATTAAAAAGTTGCGCAAAAGTTCAAAATTAATATCAGAAGAACTGCACATAAAATGATGATATTTTTTATCTATTTTTCAATTAACACATCCAATAAAAAATAGATAGATTCAGAATGATATATAAGCAAGATAAAGCCTAAATTTTAATTTTAATTACAGTATTATAAAATATTTCAATTTTTATTACTTACTCAAAGGTATTATTATCTATATTACTGGATGAAATTTTTTGAGTTATTCACATCATAAGATTAGAATTAATATTGACACATTTGATGTGTTTGATTATGTAATTTATGTGCAGCAAATTTACAAAGTTTTGAACTTTGACAGATTCACATTTCACATTTTACTTTAACCCCAAGATAAGAACACAACCTTATATTTATTACCAGGTTTTCCAATTGAATATTGAATCTAAAATAAAATATATTAAGTAAAATATAATATACAATCAGATTAAAATATATAAATTTTAAAAATTTATTAATATCTTTGAATACAGTTAATGATTCTTCCCAACCTTCTACATTATAAACATAAGCAACGCCTTCAAGACTTGTTTCAGAATATTCTATATGTGTTAAAGTATGATAAATAATCTTTGTTGCCAATTATTTAGTAAAATAAGTTATTGTATCTTTATTTAAATTGCTTGCAATATTATTATCAATCTCTTGAAGCTCATCTTTGGAAGAAATTAATACACTTTTATTTTCAAAAGATTCTAAATCTTCTTCATAAATAGTTTTAATCTCATTAATAATATAAAAGTCAGGATCATCATTAATATAAAGGTCAGAATCATCAATAGCTTGAAAGTAATAATTGTCTATTTCAAGAAAGTAAACATAAGCAAAGGTATGAGGTGGCCTTCAATTATTTAAAAGAAAAAAATCTTACATACAATGTACACATATTGTAAACATGAGAAATATCAACTACCACTAAAACTAATCTAAACAATACTCTAAACTACTGAACTCTATTGAACCCTAATGGTGGAAGGGAAATTGAGGTGTGGAAAAACTTGGTTCAAGTTTTTAGAGTTCAATAGAGCTCTGAAGTAGAGATGGCCATGCTCACGAATGGTCAAAATTTTCATAGCTAATTTTCTAAATACTGAGATGATTTTTTACTTTTGAGCTTTTAATTAAACTTGTTCAGGATTAAATTCTGGTCATACTATCTTATAAGTGGAAAGAGCGATACCTTCTCTGGAACTCGGAATTTCAAAATTTGTAACATCATGACCAGTCGTAACATTACAAATTTTGAAATTCTGAATTCCAGAGAAGGTATCGCTCTTTCCACTTATAAGATGGTATGACCAAAATTTAATCCTGAACAAGTTTAATTAAAAGCTCAAAAGTAAAAAATCATCTTAGTATTTAGAAAATTGGCTATGAAAATTTTGACCGTTCATGACTGTGGTCATCCCTACTCTGAAGTATGTCACGAGGCTCTACTTTGGGATCATGAGTTTAGACTACTGACTATATGTGAATTCAACTATCAGGGAGGTAATTGAATTGAACCTTTAAAGTCAAAATACTTGATTTTATAAGTCAAACTCTAAGGAGTTCTACTGACTTTTTCTTAATTTTCTGACTAACTAACTCCTTTATTATAAATGCCAAAAGCATTATATTTATAGTTTCTATGCTACTAATAAATATATTCACTATACTATATTCACATTGATTACTATATACAAAATGTACATAGTTTCTATATACAAAATGTATATGATTTCTATGTACAAAAGGTATATGATTTCTATATACAAAATATACATGATTTCTATGTACAAAATGTATATAGCTTCTAAACCTAATATGCATCTGATCTACTCTATAAGAAAATTTTATTCCAAGTCATGATTTATGCTTTTACACATTTTCGACCTTAATTTCGAGTTTTAGGAGAAAACTAATGAAGCTAATTAACAAGAAAACTAAAAATACTAAAAAGAAAGAAAACAAAAACAAGAAAATAAAGATAAAACAAATAAAAGAAATCTAACTATAAGCTTCTTCTTAATTATGCTAGGCCACCAACTACCTAGACTAAATTGAATTTAATGTCAGATTTCTATGCTTCAAGTAGGCCTTCTTATCTTGGGCAATGTTTTATATTCATGTTTTTCAATACCAATTCTATTTTGATAACAATGTCCAATACTATAATAGATTCTTTTGTGGATACACTTTGAAATTTCTTTGGGGCTTCTTTTAAGTCTTATTTAGCAGGTAATACAGACATTTTCTTCTTTTTTCCCGTCCCTTTATCTTTTTTCTCAATTCATTCTTTAAGTCTTTTTCAATTATATCTTCTGTGTTGATTCATTCTTCTCTTTGATTATTCTAATTTCTTCACTTAATTCCTTATATAATTCGATTTTCTCCTTTTACTCAATTTCGAAATTCGTCTCATTTTTCAAGTCTTGTTATGATTTCAGATTATGATTGTTACAGATCCATATATCCTCTTAAATAACGTTGAATAAAATTTCTTCAAAAGCTCTCTATACATAGATGTCTTCTTAAGATATGTTAATGCATATCTTATATAATTTAATTTAAATCTAAATTTGAGAATTTATTCGAGATTTCTATTATGCTAATTGATTTACTAAATTTTCGGGTATCATATTGACTTTCAAAAATTTATTCATTTTTTATTATACTATATTTTCTTTTATTCTATAGTTACATGATCTTGCAGACATTCATGTCTGCAAAATTACATAACAATAGTTAAGTTTCTATTTTGAGAGTCTTTCATCTCTTATCTATTCAAATAGTACTGTATACTTTTTCAAGTCCATCTTTTCCAATGATTTGAAAGTCAAATTTTATCAAATTTTTATTTGATTCTTCATATCTACTAATGCAATAAATTGCTCTACAGTTCCTTAATGCAAATGCATTATTTTCATCTTTCTTTATACTAATTTCGCAACAATAGCAAATGATAGTTTCCTGAATTCCTATAGAATTCCTAGCCTTAGCAGACTTCAGATAATGTTTAAATGTTTTATGCTTATTGATTTCAATGCCAATTCCCAAGCTATAACAATAGTCAACTTGATAGATTCCATTAGAATTATTCTTGTTGACCAATTTTTGATAATACATAAATACTGCATTTTTATCTTTTCCAACTTCAATCTCATATTTGTAGTAATATCTAACTAGATATGTTACTTTATCATTTCTCTTTTCTACGGGTTTTTGATAATAACTAAATGCCTTAGATTCATCTTTTTTGACTCTTATCCTCTTACTATGCCCAAAATTACAATTTATTATAGTTGGCTTATATTTATTTATATTTCTAGCCTCTACTAATATACATAAAAGTAGCAGTAGGTTGATAAATAGAGCTAATCTAGGTGTGACTAATTTGTCAGTTCATTTTCTTTTCTATTCAGTTTGATAGCTGGACTTTAAACGACATATTTGATTAATTTTATCTATCTTGGTTGATTTCTAGTACTTGGTAGATGCCAATATTTATTTTGTTCAGCTTTAATTTTACTTGGTTAGTAAGCTTTTTGTTTTATTTAAACCCTTCCATCTTTATTAAAGTATTATATCTTTTTACCAGTTTTAACTTTGCTTCTACACAATAGTAGTTATAGATTTTTCACCATTATTCAATCCCAACCAATCTTTTGAAATCTCCTCTTTGCAAGAGTACCAAGTCTTGTCGTCATCAGTGTTTTTAGGTTTGATATAACTGTTATTTAGGCCTAGGGCTATCTTTTCATAGTTGGGTTCCAATTCAGAGGCTCCATTATTCAATTTAATACTTGCTTTATTTAAGAAGCCAAGGTTGACTTGTAATATTCTTTCTATCTCCTGTGGCTCTGAATTATTAGTGAGTGCCTTTCGATCATTTTTAACTTCTATTCAATTCTGATAGCAAGATTCAAGGTTTTGATGATAGATATATGCCTTAGATTCATTTTTTTCTATGCCAATTTCATTCTGATGTAGTTATTCTAGTACAAAGTCTGATCAAAAGGATTTCTGCAGCTGGATACTTGAATTTCATTCTTTTCACCTTCAATTCTATTAGCATAGTTTATTTTAGCAGATTTTCGTTAATTTCTTATAACTTTCTTTTCGATTGTTATTTCATTTGATTCAGCCACTTTATCCACGTAGTCATTTTATACTAAATTTCAGTCATCAATGTATACCTTATATTTATCTTTTTTAACACAGCTTTCCTTTATATAGTGAGAACCAAGGATACATACTTTATTGGCTTAGTCCACTTCTGCAGTTTTTTTAGGCTCATTCTTTTTAACTTCAATCTTCTAATGAGAATCCTTTTTGACTAATTTCATATTATTAGTTTTCTTTGGCTTATTCTTCACTTGACTTCAAATAGGTCTTAGCAAGCCATAGTTAAATACAGTTTTATGGGCAGTTGGCATTAGATAAGGCAAATAGGCTTTTTTTTCTCTATTTTTAACTATGTTTAACTTTTCTTTTGCTTCTTTTACATGATAGGCTTCCCAGTTATTAATATTAAGAAAACCTTTTTTGTATTAAAATCTTGCAGGAGAAGCTTTTGTAGTAGATATTGCTAGAGACAAATATTCTTTCTTCTTCATAGTGAGACCATGTCTTAATTTACGTCTAGTGTAAGCTTCAGAGCTTCAAGAACTTGCTCAGCATCAAGACCATTACTAAAACTTTTATTTATTATATCTTGGACTACTTTGAGTTGTTCTATAGTAAGTGTTTAGAGGAATATCATACACTCTTTATACAATTTACTCGCAGCAGGACATATAGATACTGTGTGTCCTTTTTGGTTACAATAGAAGTACTACAGTCTTTTTTAAAAGACTTCTTGGGATATTATACAATTTCGAGACTTCCTTTGAACTTTTGGCAGCCAAGTTTCTTTTATTTGACATGTACCTTTTTTCAAATATTGGTATAATCTTGCAGCAGGTACTTGACTCTGACAATAATAGTAAAAATCTATCTTTATTTGGTGATAGTATTTCTAGGCTTTAGGTCTTACAGTTTTGGATAATTAGAAGTAATAGGCTTGAGTAGTTTGAAAAGTTTTATCTCACAGTCACCACTAAGTGTAAATGTGAGAAATAATCTGGAGTTGCAAAATATAGGTCTTACAAATATCAACTACTACTAAAACTAATCTAAACAATACTCTAAACTACTGAACTCTACTGAACCCTAATGGTGGAAGGCAGATTGAGATGTGAAAAAACTTGGTCCAAATTTTTAGGATCCAATAGAGCTCTGGAGTACATCACGAGGCTCTACTTTGGGATAATAGGTTTAGACTACTAACTATATGTGAATTTAATTATTAGGAGGAGGATAATTGAATTGAACTTTTAAAGTCAAAATGCTTAACTCTATAAGTTGAACTCTAAAGAGTTCTACTAGGACCCCAGACATCTCTCATATAGGTCATACTTGCACTTTAGCAAAAAGTCAAAAATTTGGTCTAAAGTCTGATTTTTAGTTTTAGCAAATTAATGATAATTTTAATAATAGATTATAATTTAGTATTTTGTCAAAATTATATCATTTTATGTATGTTATATTTTATTTTTAGCAAATTATCTGTATTTTGGAAGAATTATACTCAAAAATAAGCTATCTCATTTTTTAAACCACTATGATTTTTCAAAATTCAAAAGAAGA